TGCCCGCTTCTGCGTCGCTCCTACGGAGGGGAAGGGACGTGACCCCGACGGCCGTAGATGGCGGGCCATAAGTGTCCCACCAGCAGTCCGTCTGGGACGACACGTCGACTTTGGTCACCGGGGCACCAGGATCTGTTGTCGGTGACTCCCGCTCCGGCGTGCGAGTCAGGTGAAGATCAGCGAGGGCCCTAACACTGTCTATGAGGGCCCTTGCCATCTTGACCACACGGCGGTGCGGGGAGTACACCTCCAATACGTCCTCTAGTTGCCCCGCTTGTTCTCCGAGGAGGGTCAACCCAGCCGACAGCACCTCGTCGGACCGGCCTACCACCCTATTTGGTGACCCGTCGGCGCTAAACAAGTCCAGTGCTGTCAGGGTCACCAACCTGGGCTTTTTGGCCAGTACAGGCGCAGGCGTCTCCGGCATGGGGATGGCCACGCTAGGAGGGGTATCCTCCAGCGTAATGGTGGTGGGTTCGAGGGACGGGGATATCCCCTTCCTTTTGGGACGGAGAGAATCGTCCTCCCCCAGGTCCGCCACCTCTACCACATTGGTCTGTCCCGAAGGACTTGTAGAACCACCCCTAGACGCGCTCCGCAATCTCTCCAATATGGAGGGTTTTGGAGTTGCATCCAAGGAGGTGGCCGACGTCAATTCCGTTCCAGTATCCAAGCTGTCCATTGCCAATATCCTCCCGGCTATTTCACCGGTGGGAGTGGCTTGGTCACCACCACTCCCTGCAGTCGCAGTACCAACCCCGTGGTTGGCTGCAGGAGCCTGCCTCAACACTCCTGCATTTAACGTGTATTCGCTTGATCCTAGCGACACCTGGTGGGTACACCCCCCACCAACCGCCGGCACTGGGGCATCCGAATCCCCTGATGCAGTAACCTTTTTCTCCGTGTTTGCCATTATTCATATAAAATAATTTTCTGAGGGGGCTGCCCTCATAGCCAGTCCCTCCGGCCAGTGAGTGGCTAACTACACTGGTTGCGTTGCCATATATCTCCATTCTCACCCAAACGCTACCGCTTATTCGACCATAAAAGGCTTATTTCACGGCTACCCTGTATATCTACAGGGCTAACAAGCGTTTGGGCGGCTCGCTGTCCGCGACCGCTTATTCGTCAGTCCAAATTAATGGACTGCTTATTTCGCGGCTAACCTGCATATCTGCAGGCCGTTCCTCTATCCGCAACCTGAGGACGCGCCCGATTCCCCGAGCTAGGGAAACTGCGCCCGTGCCGACGTTTCGTAGCCCCGTAGAGCCCGATCACACCGACACTGTAGCGCAGCGCAACGGGTCAAATATTACCCTGCTCCTAACCTTTTCTAAATCATTAAATGCTAGTATAAAAAAAATGGTTATCGACTAGAACAAATTTTACTTAGCCTATTCTCAATTTAATAGTAAAAATTAACATTAGTTAACCATTTAACTTTCAACACTTTTCCTAAAATTTACTTTATTAAATATTTTTTTCTAAATATGAACCTGATATTTGTCATAGTTCATAAAAATAAATAAAATTTTAATTTGTACAAAACCTTTTTTAACGAAAAAATATGGGGTAATATATTTAATAAATCACAACGTATTTACCAATATAGTTAATAACACTATAAAACTAAATTACAAATATTAATAATTTTATCATATTTAATAATTTAATTTTTTTTTTTTTTGAGTATCCACTGTTATTTATCGGAAGAAATAATTTTCTCTCAACAAGTAATATCCCTTCGAAACATAGTGGTATATATTGAAATTGCTTGTTTTAATATTATTTTGCGGTTGTCAATTGTGATGTTGTATGTAATCCCACCGTAAAATAATTTTAAAAAATTATTGCGTGACTGAAATGGTTATGCTTAATAAATCATACTCTCCTTCTTTTCGTGTCGGTCAGTGTTAGAATTTTAAATTCCCGTCTTCTCCCAGTAATCAACAATTTTAACTGCATTACCCATTAATTATTGTTCTATAAAATCCTCGATCTCTCGTCTTACTGGTAGTATTGGACATTTCAATAGATGTTTTGTTGTTTGCGTGTTCCCGCACTCACAGTCCGCATCTATAGTTAGGCCCCATTCGCGCATATTTTCTTTAGTTCTTCCTACTTCCGATAATATTCTGTTAATGGTCTTCCATGTGCGCCAAGGTATGTTGTATCCTGGGTGAAGATTTTCTGCCAGATGTCTTGAAATTGTACTTTTATCGTTATCGGTGACTCGTTCCTGCCAATTTTTTAATCTTGTTACTATTTTTATAATGGGTTCACTAGTTTTGATAAAAGTCTTTCTAGATTTTAGCCGACTATTAATTTGAACTTCACAAACATGGGGTATCTGTGATCATTTATCTGTTTCTTCCTTTCCACTATCGCTGATACTTCTCTTCTGATATCTGGGGGAGCAATCCCACTTAAAATCTGTGTTTTTACTCTCCAACTGAATAACAAAGGGCTAGACCGGCAATTCGAAGTACCTTTAAACAAGTATCCCCTTTTTGTCACAATTTTCGAGGTATATTATTTTTGTTGTAACTTTTTTACCGTATCTTCGCAATGTACTTTATATGTTAGAACACGGTCTAATTTAACTTCTAAGTATTTAGGGTTGTCCACATATTCTATTTTAACTCCTTGCCATTCAATGTTCAGTTTCCTCTTTGCCTAACGATTTCTGAGATGATAAGTGCACACTTGTGTTTTGTGGGGGTTTGGTCTTAAATAATTTCGTTCATAGTATTTATCTAATGTCACTAATGATTCCTTGATTATTTCCTCTATTTCTTCGAAATTAGCTCATTGTGCGGCTATTGAAAGATCGTCAGCATACAGAAAATGTCTTGTTGTGAGACTCCTCAGCTGATCATTTGTATAAATATTAAAAAGTAACGGCGCCAGAACGCTTCTTTGAAGTAGGCCGTTGTTTTGTTTTTTCCCCCTGTAGTGTAACATAGAACATACGGTCTTTTAGTAGTGCTCCAATTATTTTTGTAAATTTATAGTCTTTCATAAGTTCGTAGACCTTTTTTCTGAGTAGTCGGTGATTGACGGTGTAAAATGCAGCACTATGGTTTATGTATGCAACGCTAGTGATTAGCTTTCCCTCATAATCATTTTCGATATGGTTTACCCGATTTTATACTTGGCCCATGCAGCTTCTTCCTGGTTGGAAATCCGCCTGTTTCTTAATTAGTTTTCCATCTATCGCTAGTGCTACTCTATTTAAAATTATTCTTTCGAATAATTTATACATATGGCACAACAATGACACTGGTCGGAAATCATTTGCATCATTACCTGTTTTTCTTGGTTTAAGGAGTGCAACCACTTTTGCTTTAAGCCGTATCTTCGGTACTCTTTCCATATCTTTGCAATCATTAAACGTTTCCAGAGTCCAAAGTTTAGTTATTGTTAAAATTTCTTTATCTCTTCTGCCCAAATTCCATCTATTCCTACAGCTTTTTTACATTTCATATCATCAATAGCCTTTTGTAGCTCGTCCATTTTAACTGGGCTCTTAAAATTGTTCACTTCTCCTATCTTTATTCTATTAATTTTAGTGTCACATTTCTTTTTTTTTTGTTTTGCCGTTTACTATGAGATTATGTGCAATTTAACTCTGAGTAATATTAAGGTGTTCTTTCGTTTGCTTCTTCTCATTATTTAAGTGATTTAATAGCTTCCCGGCTTTTCTACTATTTTATGCCATATCTAGTACTTCTATTGTTTTTACCCAGTCCTTTCATCTCTCATCTGCTATCTGTTTATCGAGGTTTTCTCCTAATTATATCGTTGTTTCTGCAAATGGGTCTTTCTCATATTGTTTTTCATATTTCTTTAGATCTTCTATTAAATCTTGCCTTAATTCTGGATTGTAGTTTTGCCTACATTCCTTAGGAATTGTCTTCCATGCTATCTTTTGAACAGTTTAAGGAATTTTTCATAATTGGTAGAAATTTGTTGTATACATTTCACTTCGATATCTAACATCTTGAAAAACTCATTTCATCTAGCCTTTTAAAATTAAACATTCTCTGAAAAATAACGGTTCTAGGTCTAATCTCCACGTAGATATGACACATGATAAGCCTGTTTTGAGATCTCAGTATAGGCGACAGCACATTCTTATGACACAGGGCATCTATTTTTTCACTTACAATTATGTTGTCTGGATTATATCCTCTTTGCCAACGTCCGCTGTTAAAGAACGCCGGAAGTTTTTAGTCGTATATTAAAGACAAAGCATTTCGTTCAGACTATTCTTCAATCGCATTTCCATCCTCGTTGTTATATGTGTATCCCCAGCCAGTGCTGTGGCTATTAAAATCACCGATTAAAAATTTTATTTCCCTTGCTGTGTAATTATAAAGTTCAGTAAATAAAAATTTATATTGGAAGGTTTATATATTGATATTATTGTAAACTTTTTGAAATTGACTGTTAATATTTCTACGTCTTGATTATAGATAACTCCTGTTGATATCACATTTATACTTGGGTGTATGAATATTTCACTCCCGTATTTTGGATGTGTTTCTTCAAGCACTAGTCTCATCCCTTTTACGTTGGGTCTGTTTTGTTGATTAGATCTGTGTGTTTTTTGAACGCATAAAACATCACATATCACTTTCCTGTACATCTCAGACATCAATATCTCTTTTTCTGGTGTTAAGCCTTAAATATTAATTGACACCAACGTCAAACTTGGCCATGAAAAGGGCCGTTTTACCTCTTGACTATGGATGATAAAATTGGCCAACGATTTTTTCATTGTGTAAGTATTCCGTTGGGATCTGGATGTATGCTACATTCGCTGTTTCCAGGGACAATGCTTGGAGGTTTCTATCACGCCCATATAAGTCATACTGAACATGTATATATATTTAAGACGATTAAAAAATGTTTATTAAATTAATTTAACAAAAATAAAATTTCTACTAATTAACAAAAACAGTTTAAGACAGTATGAATTTTTATTTTCATTCTAGATGATGTCCCCAATGAATTTATAAATTACCGTCCAGATAACGAAATTAGAAATCAAAGTACTAATAATCATAATCAAGATAATGAAGGCAACAACACATATAAAATAAAAGTCACACTTGATAGTAACGGAAACCCATTGTAGGCAAAAATTCTAAAATTATTTCCATGTATACGTTCTAATATTAAAATTTTTTTACAGTTACGATTTTTTGGAAGTAGACGATGATTAGTCATAGAAATATTTGAAAACAAAATATATGAGTACAATATTTGAAAACCTTAACATCTAACTAAAATGTTGATACAATTCATGCGTTAAATTACATAATTTCATATTATAAATATAAATATAATATATAATATAAATTTCATTTGAATTTTTAATAATTACCAGTTTTGAGCATAAGTAACCAAAATAAAATCTAGCTACAATACAAGTAACTCACAGTTGGTCACAGACCATTTATTGACATCAGTATAGAATGTGTAATATGTTACATAGTAATTTGTTTTAGTTTCAACAATTACAGTTGTAGGAAAAAAATGAATGTAGTGTGTTTTGTTCTTGCTTATTTATAAATAATTAAAAATAAGGTTGGGTACGCTTTTTACGACTTTTTATTTACAATGTCTGCCAATACAATATTCTTAACTTAAAATAAATTAAATTAAAATAATGATATACCTCGGGTTTAGCTATTCAGTACATATAGACTTACAAAGGTATTCTGAATTAGTATGCCTAAACCTAGAAAAATATATATATCTATGCAACCTTTACTTCTGTCTGTCCATGCAATATCCCTTAGAACAAAGATACGACTAACTAATCAGTACATAATGTACATTGTGTGTATGCAAGGTGGGTCCGCTATTAGTCCAACAATTATAATAAATTTTGATGTAGTCAATATTTTACATTTCATTATTTTTTTAATAATTGTTATACGTTGAACTATAAACATTTTATAATGAGTAATAGCTCTTTTATTTATATATTTATAACTTTAATTTACGAAAAATAAAAAAAAATGCTGGTTTTTATAGTAATCATTTACTTTTCTAAACTTCATTAGCTGAATTGAATAAATTGTATGGCTTATTAGCATTTCTCTAAGAGATTAATAAATTTATTAAGTGAAAAGTAGTTCATTCTTTTAATATTCTCCAAAAAAATCATCTGAGTAAAAAAGTTGTTATTTATTTTAGACAATTGTTTTTATCTTTAAATCCATTAATTATAATATTCTTATTAGAAATACTAATTGACACGAGATGTTAAGGTTGGGTTTTTTTTTAATAATATTATTATAAGATAATTTTTAAAATTGCTACCTGAGATGTGCCGAGCACAATAATCTAGGTGACGGACTGTTTTTCACCGAAAAGGGCTTAAAGCCTTTTATTAAAACGTAATCAAGGACAGATAGATAAGTAATTTGCTTGCATAATCACCTAAATTGTATAGAACTCAAAAATATAGCTAGAACACCTAATTTTTTTACCGATAGTAAACATTTATAATTTTTCTTAAATAAACAAAATCTGTTATTGTGTTAGATTATTTTGATTATTTTTAAATCATAAAATTAATATTGATATTTAAGAATTTAGTTTTCAAATTAAATTGATAACTTTTTAATAAAGTATTAAAAATTAAACGTCTTAAACTNATAACTTTTTAATAAAGTATTAAAAATTAAACGTCTTAAACTTTCTTTTCAGCTATCTAAATTGAAATTAGAAGTTAAATTTTACTTATTAATGTGTTTTCCAAAAAACGCTTAAAATAATATTATTTATGATAAAACTGAAATTTTATCTTACAGTTTTTAATTATGTCATGAGCACCTTAAAAACATAATTTATAAAATGGATACAATTAGATTTTGGTCAACTTAAATTGATGGGGCCGTGGTATTACCATTATACGAATTTAGATATTAACACATTACATTGAAATAGTCTAAGTAAATTACTTAATATTAACGCTACAGGGGTGTCCGTCAACTATTCCTACATAGGAAGGGGTAATGAATCTTGACATAAACTAACCTGTAATGGTGGGAGGGGGATGAAACAAGACGTAAACTAATTTTACGCTTATCTATAGATTGTATATAATAAATAATTTCTCAGAATTTTATCATCGGTTACCAAACGCCTAGCTAAGCATATTTCCAACGTCAAAGGTACCGCTAAATTATAACCCACATTATCGTCTACATTTTACGAAAAATAATAGCCGTCTGTGTTTTAAATATGTCATTTTCCTTATTTTTAACATATTAATAATCAGAATCAGTATTAATTTAAAACAATTTTTTTTTGTTCTTAATTATTTATTTATATGTAAATATATTTTACTATTTTTTAATAATAATATAACTAAGAAGTGATAGAAAAAATCTAATTGCACATTTGAAAACATCGCGAAAAGTTGATTTAGAATGGTATATTTTTGTTTCTGATGAAAGTTCCTTGTAGTCCAGTGTATAAAACTTATAACTTTGTTAACTGTTATAACTTTATCAAAAATGACCAAATCAGTATAATTTTTTTTTATTTAGATGCATGTTTTTATCTTTTATTTGTTTTTTTTTTATAAATCTATCCCTTTACCTGCTCACAAGAGGGATTCAAAATAATAAATTTTTTTTTTTTAGTTAAAGTAAATCAATAAAATTAATTCTATTCTGGATATTTCAATTGTAGAATATTTTCAAATACCAAAAACTACTTAGGAATTATTGCTATGATTTCTATTTAAATGTTCTATTACGATAAAAATGCAAAAAAATAATGAGTTTTTTTGATAAATATACAGTAAATAGTAATTATAAAATTTCCTGACTGCATATAAGTCTTAAAAATAGCATAGTTTTAATTCTCATAAAATTTTCTATTTAATGATGTCAATTTCAACTTGTAATTGAGCTAAAAGTTATGGTAACATTATCAATTTTTTTTACTATAAACTTTCACAAAACTTGTCAAAAATTTTTCATCAACTTTAAAGAACCAAAAAATATGTTGAAAATGAAAATTTTTTTTTTTTATTATAAACTTTCACTTTAAAGGGCGAAATAAAGAAGGTTAAAAATTATTTTTTTTAACATATTAAAAATCAATTCAGTAATAATTTGAAAACAAATTTTTTTTTCTTTTAATTATTATTTTATATGTAATTAGTAATAATATTAAAACTTAGAAGTGATAGAAAAAGTCTAATTGGAGATTTGAAAACAAAGCGAAAATTAGCGAAAAATAGGGTACGCTTTTTACGACTTTTTATTTACGATGTCTGCCAATACAATATTCTTAACTTAAAATAAGTTAAATTTAAATAAAGATATACCTCGGGTTTAGCTATTCAGTACATATAGACTTATAAAGGTATTCTGAATTTGTATGCCTAACCCTAGAAAAAAATATATATCTATGCAACGTTTACTTCTGTTTGTCCATGCAATATCCTTTAAANTTTACTTCTGTTTGTCCATGCAATATCCTTTAGAACAAGGGTACGACTAACTAACCAGTATATAATGTACATTGTGTGTATTCAAGGTGGGTCCGCCGTTAGTTTGACAATTATAATAAATTTTGATCTAGTCAATATTTTACATGATCATTATTTTTTTAATAATTGTTATACGTTGAACTATAAACATTTTATAATGAGTAATAGCTTTTTTATTTATAAACATATATATATAATTTTAATTTACGAAAAATGAAAACAAAAACCCAGCACAAGGGGGTCGCGGCATAGTGGTGACGTGGCATAGTTGGATCAAGTATAATGATATCTGACAGTGATTATAATCACTATCAAAATTAAACGCTTCGATGCAAATCTTTAGATAGTGTTTAATTTTAAAAAAAATGGTGTTTTATTCCAAAAGCTACTTGATCTGCTGGTTCCTTATTAATATCTCGATTAAGATAAAGTATGTCGAATGAAAAAGGGTTTATTAAAAAATATTATTTCTCATAAAAAAATTGTGTGGATCCATAAACTTTCCAATAAGTTATAGCATTATAAAGTTAAATATAATATAAATAATAAAATCGAGAATTTTCACACGAAAATAGCATTCGGTAGCCATTTTCGCCGTGAAGACAAGTCCAGAGGTCAAATTTTTTTTTTTCAAATTAAAGTATATTACATTAGCTTTAATTTAAGATATATATAAAAGTGTCAGACCTTCCGGAACATTTACAAAAGTTATGTTGAAAAATTAAATTTTTTGTGAAAAAGTTGTCATTTTAAATCCCCCCCTGTTGGCAGGTTAAGTGTCAGATTTACAAAAAAATTATACCAAATGATAAGTAAAGACATCAAGCATCTATATAAAAAAAATTTATATTGATATTTTCATTTTTGAAAAAGTTAGAGCATTATTAAGTTAAAAATAAAAAAAAAAATAATTTTACAAAAATCGTAATTCTTTATTAACTTTGATGTCAACTTTCACCACGAAGACAAGTCCAGAGGTCAAATTTTTTTTTTTCAAATTAAAGTACATTACATTACCTTTAATTTAAGATATATATAAAAGTGTCAGCCTTCCGAAACATTTTCAAAAGTTAAGTTGAAAACGTTAATTTTTTGTGAAAAAGTTGTCATTTAAAATCCCCCCCTGTGGGCAGAAAAAAGGTCAAATTTACAAAAAAAATATACCAAATAATAGGTAAAGACATCAAGCATCTATAAAAAAAAATGATGTTGATATGTTCATTTTTGAAAAAGTTACGGCAGTTTTTAGTAAAAAAAATATTAAAAATTAGCAATTTTTAAATTTGTAATTTTTTTGGAGGTTTCCCCCATTTACGGACGAGGAACGAAGGAATTTTTTTCAATTTTTGAGGCTAATGTCTTCGACTAGATACAATTTGTGATCTTTTGACGTATCATTGAAAGAAATCGGTTCGGTGAGAGCTGAGAAAAAGTGGTAACATAAAAAAAAAAAAAAAAACACATCATAGTAAAACCAATACCTTCTCAGCTTCGCATCGAAGCTAAAAAATGCTGATTTTTACAGTAACTATTTACTTTTCTAAACTTCATTAGCTGAATTGAATAAATTGTATGGCTTATTAGCATTTCTCTAAGAGATCAATAAATTTATTAAGTGAAAAGTAGTTACAGGTTCATTCTTTTAATATTCTCAAAAAAAATCATCTGAGTAGAAAAGTTGTTATATGTTTTAAACAATTGTTCTTATCTTTAAATCCATTAATTATAATATTCTTATTAGAAATACTAATTGACACGAGATGTTAAGGTTGGGTTTTTTTTTAATAATGTTATTATAAGATAATTTTTAAAATTGCTACCTGAGATGTGCCGAGCACAATAATAAGTTAAATATGTCATTTTCCTTATTTTTAACATATTAATAATCAAAATCAGCATTAATTTAAAACAATTTTTTTTGGTCTTAATTATTTTTAGCTTTTTTTATATGTAAATACTGTTTTTTAATAATATTAAAACTTAAAAGTAATAGAAAAAGTCTAATTTTGCACATTTGAAAACATCGCAAAAAGTTGATTTAGAATAGTATATATTTGTTTCTGATGAAAGTTCCTTGTAGTCCAGTGTATAAAACTTATAACTTTGTTAACTGTTATAACTTTATCGAAAATGACCAAATCAGTATATTTTTTTTTTAATTAGATGCATGTTTTTATCTTTTATTTGTTTTTTTTTTATAAATCTATCCCTTTACCTGCTCACAAGAGGGATTCAAAATAATAAATTTTTTTTTTTTAGTTAAAGTAAATCAATAAAATTAATTCTATTCTGGATATTTCAATTGTAGAATATTTTCAAATACCAAAAACTACATAGGAATTATTGCTATGATTTCTATTTAAATGTTCTATTACGATAAAAATGCAAAAAAATAATGAGTTTTTTTGATAAATATACAGTAAATAGTAATTATAAAATTTCCTGACTGCATATAAGTCTTAAAAATAGCATAGTTTTAATTCTCATAAAATTTTCTATTTAATGATGTCAATTTCAACTTGTAATTGAGCTAAAAGTTATGGTAACATTATCAATTTTTTTTACTATAAACTTTCACAAAACTTGTCAAAAATTTTTCATCAACTTTAAAGAACCAAAAAATATGTTGAAAATGAAAATTTTTTTTTTTTATTATAAACTTTCACTTTAAAGGGCGAAATAAAGAAGGTTAAAAATTATTTTTTTTAACATATTAAAAATCAATTCAGTAATAATTTGAAAACAAATTTTTTTTTCTTTTAATTATTATTTTATATGTAATTAGTAATAATATAAAAAATTAGAAGTGATAGAAAAAGTCTAATTGCAGATTTGAAAACAACGCGAAAATTTGATTTAGAAAAGTATATTTTTGCTTCTGATGAAAGTGTCTTGTATACCAGTGCATTTATTTATAGTAACAAACAGTTTTTATTGAAAATTATTGTATCAAGCCCTTTAAATTTTTATACGCGTTAAAGTAAAGCAAAATATAACTTTTTTATTATTTTTATAATTTCTCTGTTTAAATTACAATATTAAATTATTGAATATCAATTTCATACTAAGTTTGATAATTATAATTAGTATTTATTCATATATTATATTTTAAAATCAAAGTACTACTAATTAGGATATAATCAAAGAAATAAGAGTTTATGTTGCTTTTGGAATAATCCACCAATTTCTCTAGATGAAATACTGTTTGAACCAGTGGCGGCTCGTAGGTCTCGGAAGTGGTGAGGCAAACTTTTAATTTAGTAAATTGGAATAAAGAATATACCCATTTTTAAGATTATAGGTACACGTAGATAATAGCTGTATTAATTGGTAACATGTTAATTCTTTAAAATTTTTATAAATTATAAGATGAAGAATTATAATCGTGTAATACTTTTATACATTGACTGATAACTGATATGATAAACATAATCCGTTTGTTGTTTTTGTGGGTTATGCATAGATTAGAGCACAATAACGACATATTGTCGATTCCATTTAATTAATATGTAAAATGTCGTTTCGCATTTGAAACCACCTGGCACAAGATGGCGTTCACCGCTGAGGAAAATTTACATCAGCCTCATTTTACCAAATATTCACGACTCTCCCCCACCAATCAATCTTAATAATCCAGTATAGCAACTGAATCATAAAAAAGTTTTCCTCTCGGACCTCATCGGTTTGCTTCATAATCAGTCGTGTAACGTGTTGTCATTTTAGACCTTTGGTTTCGGCACTAACTACCGTGTTATATCTTGCTGTGTTTGTGGAGCGCCAGTCAGGCGCAACATTATGTTATCTATTTTCGTCCTATTATCTTTTATGGTTCAAGATTACAAATTGTGTTAATTATAAAAATAAATTATAATATTTTGAAAGATATTTGATATTGATGGAGGCACGAAATAAATAAATTATTATAAGGTAAATTGCAGGTGAGATTGTGCCTCACTTGCCTCACCCGGCGAGCCGCCACTGCNATTGTGCCTCACCCGGCGAGCCGCCACTGGTTTGAACGAAACGCCCGGTTATAATGTGCAGGCTAGTTAACGTCCAGTTGGGTTATTTAATTATGCCGGAGAAAAAAGTAGGGAGTGGACTGTATATAAGAGGATGGTATTTACACTAAATAAAAAAATAAGAATTACAAGACAAGGAGTTATATATTAAAGTAACAATATAAATATAAAAACTATCATAGAATTGTGGATTGGGGGGCAGGGTCACTTAATATTAAAATGGCCAACAAGGTATCTCTGAACAAAATAGATAAAATATAATATAATAACTACAAACAAATAAAAACTTAACTGTGTAACGTACAATAGATGAAAGATGACTGATGACGGTAAAAATGAACAGTTGGAATACTTTACACTAAAATGTTGAAGACTACAAGGGTAGTCGATACAAACGGAGGCACTTGTTATGTACACGATAATGGCATAGACTGGTATAGCAATTCTATACCCACGACGAATCACCAGGGTGGTTAATCCATTAGTACGACTATGAGCTAGATGCACCATAGAACCACGTAGCGAGGGCTAGCAATGGTAGCGAGAACGCAAAATTCACAAAAGGGACCGATAATAGTTCGGCGAGACACAATAATCACTCACGTGAGTATCCAACGTAATGACGAATCCCTCGTACAACCGGTGATGGCAGCGCGAGTGGCGCTATCAGTCACAACAAAATCTAAGAAAAACGCCCTCTTGTGATGAGTATCCAACAAATACTATCTACAGATTTGCATCGAAGCGTTTCTTATGAAGCGTTTATTAGTGATTTTAATCACTGTCAGATATCATCTATACTTGTCCCATCTATGCCTCGTCTACACTGTGCCTCGACCCTACTGTGCTACCGTTTTTTTTTTTTTTTTTTACTTGGATAAAACCACATATACGATATACTAAAATAAATACGGACAGGAAAATTAGGAAGACAACTCTTACCTTGGTTTTCCAAATTTTCTATTAATTCTTTTGACGCTGAACTTTTTATCGAGAGGTAATCCAATTGGAATTACAATGGCACTGATATTAATACTTTTCGTGTGAAAAACACAAACATACTTTGGTCCTAATGACCTTCAAATACACTTTATGGTGAGCTTACGTGCTTACTGATTTGTGTAAGCAAAATGAAAAATTAAACGAAAAACAACTATTTTTTAATTCGCACAGTTACTATATATGCAATACACTATATTGTATATCACAGCACAGAAGCAAATCAATCGTAATTTGATTTACGAATAATCTGCACCTCGACAAATATACTATTAATCTTTAAATCTTTATAACACTTTATAACTAAACGCTCACGACGCTGGTAACCATTCGCGGACGAAGGACCATGTTTCGGTCTCATAGTGGACTGTGTAATACTTTTACTTTTACTATTTATTTAATTAGAACGAGATAAATCTTAATACCATTTAATTTAGTTTATAACACTTCATTTTGTATACAAATGTTGGCGTGCTCGTCGTGCCGCCCTTTACAATGACGAATTCATCACTCGACTACTATTAATACATCATTTACTTTGATAAATTTAGCTGTGTTAATCTAAGCACATCACTGGAGTAAAAAATATTTAAAAGCAGAAATCGAACTGATGACTTTGTAAGATATGCTCTTGAATAATTATTAGGTTTATTTTTTTTAAGAAACTAAGTTAATTCAACTAATTCTAGATAAATTATTTTATATATAAAAATTCCATATACAAATAACGAATAAACTAATTTTAACCCAACCCTATATGATTTGTATTCCGAAATTCTCTCTAATTTCTCGAATTTGACTAAGACTTAAAATCTCAAATACTTTTTATTAGTGACATTTTTCTCTAGCTATTTTATTAAAAGATAAAATACTTGATATATTAATTCACACTCTAGTTGAAAACCTATGCCAAAAAACACATGTGCCAATTAAAATTATTTTCGAAAAATTTGTCATTTTTTGGATAATATATTTTTAAATATTTTCATAAAAAGTTCGCAAACATTAATGTATTTTTTTGAAATCCAAGAATATCTTTCTCCATATATTAAATATCCCCGTTCTCCTTTGTGTTAAAATTTTGTTATGAATATTTTCGATAACAATAATTTATTTTAATATGATTGTTTGCACAATTGTATATAAATTAATTTTAATAAAAAAATTCATAATATAAGTTAAAGTCGGAGTCATTTCATTCTAAAGTTTAAATTATTTTATGCAGTTTTTTGCTATTTCAGAAAAATTCCAAGTTAAAAAAAATGGTATGTTTTTGTCGGGTAGAGTGTGGCAACAGCTGATAACTGTCCTCGCGCATCTTGTAGCGCTCGTGTATAACCGGTTCGAACGTTTTAGTGCCACGTTCGCCCGTCGTCCCTTTCTCAGTAAACGTCATAGTTCCCTTTTTTACATACGGTACACACGTCTCTCGCCTCTAGTAATCGACAGCCGTGCAATTACTAATTCACTTTCACTTATATATATTTTTTTTATTTTCGTTCATTATTAGTTTCTTTTCAATATAAGTCACTTTGCCACCATCTCCGATCTCCTCAAGCCGTCATCAGATAAGTTGTTAATTTATTTTCATTTTGTCATATCTATCATATAAGATTAACATTGTTTTAGTATGTAAGTTATCCCCCCCTTTTCCCTTTACTTTTAAGAGTTTTTTACTTGCAGTACTATAAATATATATTCGTATTTTGTGTATAGATTAACAGGTGTACCTATTTTCTTACCCCATCTTATTACCCCTTTAATTTTCATTTTGTTCGCTATAAAATAAATAACACCGCAAAGTAACAGGCTATCCCTCTTTAATAATTAGGAGCTGCTTGTCACAGTTTTAATTACTTTAATGCATCATTATTAAATATTGTATTGTATTCAATTTTTTTTAGACGATGCTCATTTTATTCGTTATTTTATTATCTTCCTGTTATTTTTATGTACCAGAAGGTAATTATAATATTTTATAAATATTATACTTTTTAAAATAAATTATTTTATACTCTTATATGGTTAATCAATTTTATTACAATCATTTTTCAATAAAAAGGTAACAGTAAGATACAAAAATGTAATCCTTAGGAAAGAAAAAAATTTAATTTATTTTAAATTTTTACTTGATTTTCTTTAAATAATTGTTATTTTATTTATTATACTTATATTAAAATGTGAAAACCAATCTATATTTCAATCAATAGTTAGAGTTTTAATTTTAAGAATGCAAACCATTTTATAAATACAATTAATAAATAAATGACCGGTATATATGTGCAACCGTGAAGTTAGGACTAAAATGTTCTTATTATTATATTGTATTATGACTTTATTTCATTAAATCATTTATATGAACAGTAATGTATTTCCTGACTAAATATACAGTGTGATTTATTAAATATACTATCCACCTTTTTTCGTTAAATAATGATTTTTCCATAAAAATGTATAGATTATTTAATTAGATTAAAATGTAATTAATTTTTATAAGCCATTATAATTATATTACTACGGATGGATTTTAAGGGTAAATTTGCAAGTTAAATGAGAATCTATTATTATTTTATTACTAGTAAATAGAGAATGGTCCAAAATAAAATTTTACCAGTTAATAACCAGTGTTATAATTATTTTTATGAGTTGTTACAACTCTTAGTTATAGTCGAGTAGGGTGCGCAAAGTTGAAGAATTCTTAACTATGCATTATTATAAAAATTTTAGGGTTAGTAAACATTACTCTACTACTCTACANTATACAAATTTTAGGGTTAGTAAACATTACTCTACTACTCTACATTTTTAGATCTTCAAATGCTAATATCTCAAAAAATAATAATATAAATCCATCAGTCAAAAATTTACTTGGACCAAATTCCATTAAAAAAATAATTATAGGTTCTCATTTAACTTTCGGAAGTAACTCATATAATATAAAATGAAGTATAATTTTGTCTTAAAATAAACTGGATATTTACAATGTTTATAATATTAAATTAAATGTTACATTGTTAAAAAAAATCATTATTTAACAATAAAAATGGCGAGTAGTATATTTAATAAATTACACTATAAATAATTTTATTTTAAAACATATTTATAATAAATAAATAAATAAAACATTTGAATCACCATAATTCGATGAATGCAATTTAACTATTTTCAAAAGTGAAAAAAGAGTTTATAGCTAAAAAACATATTTACCTAAAAAAAACAGTCGTTTTCAAAAACGTGTGAAAAAATACCTTTTGTATGTAGAAAAATCAAATAAAAATGTTATATTGATGAATATTACATTTTTTTTAAATAGTACATGGAGCAACTAGCACAAGTGGTAAGATATTTAATTATTCTGACACGACATATGTCACAATAAAGTAGTCGACACTGGTTTTGTGGGTAGACACCCGTAAGCCGTTTATTAATAAGCATAAACAGATTATTTGAAAAAAACAAACAAACCGAAAAGACGAACAGTGTTATTCATAACTTTCGCATAATATTGCAGTATTTTCGCTGGCATTGGCGTCAAAAGTTAGTAGCGATGATTATGACGTTGCGTATCTGTTCGTCTAATCCGTTCGTGTAGCACGTCCGGAGCCGGTTGTGTACATCTTCAACGAGAAGACGACTTCACGTAACATTTGCGGCGCGTCATCGTCAGGCGTACAGAACTTGATGGATTTTGCACCATTGGGTGTGCTACGCGGTGTTGGTCAATCAAATATTCATAGTAGGGCGACTGCAGATAAAAGTGGCACGAGTCACAGAGCATCGTCTATGACGAATCGACGCAGGACCTCACAATTCATACAATTATATTAGTAATAAAAGTTAACAAAGCTTTTATAGCTACAAAAGTTGTTTATTAAAAAAAAAGGGCCAATTTCAAAAATATGTGATAAATACATTTTGTAAATAGACAAATAAAATAATAATGTATTAATAATAATATATTAATGAAAATTAAAATTTTTTTTTAATTTTACATGGAGCAGATGACAAAAGTAGTAAGATATCTAATTATTCATACATTTAATATTAGTATTAATTAATTAATTTGAAAAAAGCGTTTATAGCAACAAAAGTTAATTGTTTAAAAAAAGTCATTTATAAAATATGTGAAAATTCCATTTTGTAAATAGACAAATCAAATAATAATGTTAAATTGATAAATATAAACAATTTTTTAATTTTTTTTTTGTAATATATGAAGCAGATACCAACAGTGGTAAGATATTTAATTATTCATACAATTATTATTAGTGCTATATAATAAAAGTTAAAACTGCGTTTATAGCTACAAAAGATATTTATTAAAAAAAAAGTTATTTTCAAAAATGTATGAAAAATCAGTTTTGTAAATAGTCAAATAAAAAAATAAAATTACATTGATGAATATAAACAATTTTTAAAATTCTTTTTTTTTTTTTTGTATAACATGAGCAGATACTAACAGTGGTAAGATATTTAATTATTCATACATTTATATTAGAATTATATAATTAAAGTTAAAACTGCGTTTATAGCTACAAAAGATATTTATTAAAAAAAAAGTTATTTTCAAAAATGTATGAAAAATCAGTTTTGTAAATAGTCAAATAAAAAAATAAAATTACATTGATGAATATAAACAATTTTTTAATTTTTTTTTTTGTAATATATGAAGCAGATACCAACAGTGGTAAGATATTTAATTATTCATACAATTATTATTAGTGTAATATAATAAAAGTTAAAAAAAACATTTATAGCTAAACTAAATATTTTTTTTAAAAAAAAGTCATTTTCAAAAATGATTGAAAAATCCTTTTTGTAAATAGATAAATCAAATAAAAATGTTATATTGATTAATATTTAATTTTTTTTTTTTTGTAGTAAATGAAGTAAATAGCAAAATTGGTAAGATATAAAATTATTCATACATTGATATTAATATTATATAATAAAAGTGAGTAAAGCGATTTTAGCAAGATAAGTTATTTATATAATATCTGAAAAATCTTATTTGTAAATAGTCAAATTAAATAATAATGTTAAATTGATTAATATTAGAATTTTTTTTTTGTAGTACATGAAGCAGATATTAAAAGTGGTAAGATATTTAATTATTCATACATTGATATTAGTATTATATAATTAAAGTTAAAAATGCGTTTATAGCTACAAAAGTTATTTATTTATAGAAGTCATTTATAAAATATGTGACTATATATACATATACAAATATACAAAAAGGAAGAGGTACCTTTTGTCACGTTACAATATTAAAATTTTTTATTTATTTTGTTAATAGTACATGAAGCAGATAGCAAAAATGGTAAGATATTTAATAATTTATACATTTTTTTTTAGTGTTGTATATTATATTTTTTTCCTAGTAGTAGAAAAGGGTTATGAATATGGGCTAAATGGACGGGCAGTTCAGATTTTTATTTGCTTGTCAAGGCTGGTGAGGCTGGGGCGTTAGAGAACTGGCACGCGAGACAGTGCTGAGCGCTGTATTTTGTATTGCTGTAGCCAGTTGGTGGTGTAGTGGTGTTCCTCGTGGGTTGTTATTCGCGTGCTAATCGGCCATCGTAGATGGTGACTATTCTATGTGTTGTACTGACTAGTCATCCAGCCCTTTTCCTAGGAAGAGTACGGACGGGGGTAGCCGGTTTGCTCGTTATAGCGATTGCGTAACACGAACTATAGGAGGGGATAGTTTTAAATTTCAAGAAGTACCAATTGACCCGTTTAATAATACACCATGTTTTGCCATGTTCTACCGGATTTGTTTTTTGTTTTTAACACAATTTTGCTTATCCATAATTGAGAAGGTGTGCTTGTTTGACGGAAGAGAGAAACATATCGTTATTTTGTCACTCTTGTCCTCCGCCCCCATAAACGTCGATTGCAGATCGTGTTATTTATTTTGTTGTCGGCGTAAATGTTATAAAGAGTGTCGGTGCGCCGTGACGGTTGTGTTGTTGGTGACTGTATCGAATTATTGTCTAGGGTATCCTGGTTGACATGGAAGTGTGACAACATGTTAGTCGTTATGAATGCCGGACAAGTCTGATGCAGTGAAATTTAGGTCACTTAGGTGTAGTGCCCACCTAGTTAATTTACTATTATTATCATTCGAATTATGTAAGTAATTCAACGCGGCTTGTATAACATTTATATTTAATCGCTACGCTCTTTCCCACAGTTGGTGATAGCGATTATTTACATTATTTATACGCTAAAATTCCTACAATTTAATAAATCATTACTTATACTTTATTATGGTCACTATAGCTATGTTCAAGCGTCCTATATTTACATACATTTACATTATTTATTACATGAAACACAAAAACAATATAAGACAACGAATACTAAGATGAAACCGACCACCGAGCGTTCCAACTTGCCAATTTCTAATGTACTCCTATGTTTCTTCTAACCATATTATTTTAGTATTCCATGTGATATTATAAACTCATTTTCATTTAAAGTTTTTTTACGCCTTCGTGTGTTACTCAATGCAAAAACACAATCCACTTGATACATACACCGACCGGAGAACGTAAAACCAAAGAAACATCAATACACTAATCGTATATGTTTATCCGCTAATCAGATGACAACTGTTCACCTACCAAATATACAGCCGGCTTACAACTTTTGAACGGGTGATAAGCCGGACTTGACAACCGGACGGCAGTGTTGCCGTTAGCATGTTATCTAATTCAAAAGGGGTATATTTTAAAAATGATTTATAAGTTTTTCTGTGATCTATATGATCTCTAAACATTCACGTTCAACAGTGGCGTAAAGTTTTGACACGTCCAATAATTTTTTACTCGCGTAGGCGACGATATTCCTTTTGCCCGACTCGTTGCTGTACTGAAATAATACCACCTTGATATCAAGTTCATTAGCGTCAATTTGTAAGAAAAACTTTTTGTTGTAGTCTGGGGGAGAAAGACGTTTTATGTTGCATATCACTATTTTGATGTGCTCATATGCATTTTGCGGGCCCCACTACTACTTTTCCCCCTTTTTGAGTAGTTTGGAATGGGGGTCTATTACACACCCCTAATAATATTCTTAAGTTCTTGGCATTGCGTGGGATTGTTATAGCGAGTATGGACTCAAGTTTCTCATGTTTATTATCAAAGCTATCTCCATGTACCTGGTGTACCAAAAAAGAAATTTCTGATTGGTGCATTTTTAATATAAACGGAAGTATACGAAATTAGACAAGCCCCCTAAATACCGTACATTTACGCGCGTTCTGTTTAAGTGAACATTGCCAGCAAACCGATTTAAAATTAAATGTTATGAATACTTCGCCTCCCTCATTCATCAAATAATATCGTTTAGATTGAGTATTGGGTACGCGAATCAGACGGTTACTTCGTTACGTACGGTCCATGTCGAACGATGTTCATCGAGCGATACCACTAAAATGACTTCAATGTATATTTGCGACGATTCTTCGTTAGTCGTGCGGCACTTGCTGGACTTTTTATTGAGCCCCTTCGTACGCTGTGTTAAAGTCAGTCAAACTATCATGTACAAATAAAAGAGGGTCGGCTAACAAAGTTGTCATATGTACCACATATTAAGTAGCGACGTGGGACAGTATCAGTAGTATATATTATTGTTATGTTAATAACAATACCTGTCTAATATGTGGAAAATTATATATTTTATAATATACACATAAGATATTGTTAGTTTTTAGAGAATGTCTATTTTTTATTTATTAAATAACAAATTAAAATAAATCAAATTGATTATTTCCAATTATAATAATAGCAAAATAACAAATAAAAAAATCCAGCAGAGTTTGTTTATGGCTCAATGGGGACGAGGCATAGTAGGGAAAAGTATAGATGATAATGTAATAATACAAAAATAACAAAAAATTTGTTAGGTGTATTATGTTAGGGTATTTATTAACCAAGATTGGATATTTGGGGATTTGGTCAATTGGTGAGCAATGAGGTTCTATCGGAGTTGTAGAGTCCAAGGGCTTAGAACAATAAAGACAAGTAGATATAAAAAGTAATAATTAAGGTTTCTCTTATAGAGATATTATAAATGATCCAACTAGTAACTACCTGTAATACTACACCGAGGCAACGAAGAGACGGTGGCCATCTAACGAATACCATGTAATGTGATTATGTATAAGGTCCGAACTAGTTAATAATAATTAATTGAAGATTAAAGATTAATATAATTATTTGATCTGTTTCTTTATCGTTCTATACTCAGATTATTAATTCTAAATAATTGAATTATAAGATAATATAAGTATTGACTCTTAATGATTTAAAGTCTTACCTGAAGATTTTTCTTTGTTCTAATAATAACTTTTGATAATATCAGGTTATGACAAAATAACACGAACTCAAATGTTTAGTTCATAAATTAACAAGTAAGAATTTCACAATGATAACTACGAACTTTGCGTATCGATGTCGAGAGCACGATTCGACCAACTCAATGAATATTTAGAGACAGACTACTTCAAGCCCTCAGCACTCAGCCCTTTTATAGTATTTTTTTTTATCCCCAAACAATTATCATTGTGTCATTCTCGCAATGTTGCTATTTTATTGACAAGTCATCATAAAATATATAAATTAATATGCAAAGTAGTATAAAATATATGAATTAATACATTAAATACAAAAATGCATTTCGACACTTCATATAATATTATTATAGTTAGTTAAAAAGAGCTGACAAGTATAATTTATGAATTTTCTCAAAGAAAAAACAAACATGTTATTCTAAGCTTATGAATATAATTTATAAATAAAAGTGTTAATAATTTTTAAATGAACGACCATTACTGTGGGCACAAACAGAGCAGTCCTCTGTTATATCATATTGTGATAGTGACGAGTCTATTATGACAATAACTGATAGTGATTAAAATCACTATCATAAAAAATGTTTCGATGCAAATCTATAGTGTTAAATTTTTAAAAGCATATGTTGGACTATTTTAAAAGCAGCATCAATAATTTTCTTAATTATATCCTGATTACTATTTTTATGATTTACAAGGTGATTTACTTTATCATGAATAACTTTATTAATCGAAAAATAAAAATAATATTAATCATTTTTTTTTTGTTTCTTTTAGATATAAATGTTTCTCTCAGTTTTTCGATCATAAATTTTTTTTTTTGTTCATTCTTTATACAACTTAAAAATCAACTTTAATTTTTCAAATAGCAATACCCCTAATTAACTAGCCTATTTAATAGATAATGATCTTATTAAGAAAAGGTCTATTACATTTTTTGGACCAGTATTTCGGAACTTATTAACATATTTATATCTAGTAGGAATAGTACGATCAGAAAATGTTTAGTTATAAAAATAGCAGCAACCACTTTTCACTTTTAATCATTACTTTAAATATTTTGAAAATTTAAATTGAAAAAGTCAAGTTTTCAAGAATAAGTAGTTATTTTGAATCTCCCTCTATTATGTAGTGGATTAGAGGTAAGCAGGTTAAGGGTTAGATTTTCAAAAAATATATATTCTTAATAAAAGTGAAATAATGTATTTAAAAAAAAAACCCCAGCACAGGGGGGTCGCGGCACAGTTGAGACGTGGTATAGTTGGATCAAGTATAATGATATCTGACAGTTATTAAAATCACTATCAAAAATAAACGCTTCGATGCAAATCTTTAGATAGTGTTTAATTTTAAAAAAATTGGTGTTTTATTCCAAAAGCTACTTGATTTGCTGGTTCCTTAATATCTCGATTAAGATAAAGTATGTCGAATGAAAAAGGGTTTATTAAAAAAAATTAATTCTCATAAAATTTGTGTGGATCCATAAACTTTTCAATAAGTTATAGCATTATAAAGTTAAATATAATATGAATAATAAAATCGAGAATTATCACACGAAAATAGCATTCGGTAGCCATTTTCGCCGCGAAGAAAANAATTCGGTAGCCATTTTCGCCGTGAAGAAAAGTCCAGAGGACAAATTCTTTTTTTTCAAATTAAAGTATATTACATTAGCTTTAATTTAAGATATATATAAAAGTGTCAGACCTTCCGGAACATTTTCAAAAGTTAAGTTGAAAAAGTTAATTTTTTGTGAAAAAGTTGTCATTTTAAATCCCCCCCTGTGGGTAGAAAAAAGGTTGAATTTACAAAAAAAGTATACCAAATGATAGGTAAAGACATCAAGCATCTATATAAAAAAAAATTATATTGATATATTCATTTTTGAAAAAGTTACGGCAGTTTTTAGTAAAAAAAATTGAAAAAATTTCGAAAATTAGCGATTTTTAAATTTGTAATTTTTTTGGAGGTTTCCCCCATTTACGGGGAACGAGGGAAATTTTTTCAATTTTGAAGGGTAATGTCTTCGACTAGATACAATTTGTGATCTTTTGACGTATCGTTGAAAGAAATCCGTTCAGTGAGAGCTGAGAAAAAGTGGTAACAGACAAAAAAAAAAAAAAAAAACACATCATAGTAAAACCAATACCTTCTCAGCTTCGCATCAAAGCTAAAATACTATGATTCATCTTTTTTCAAAAATTTATGACAGATTTAAATAAAAATAACAACATGAAAAATGGAGATTTTTTATACAAAAATAGAATATTTGAATTTACTTTATGGGTCGTAGGTAATCAGGAAGATATTGAAAATAAGTGTGTCGATTGCAAATGTGTAGATGATTTATTTGAACTAACATCTTCAATATCAACGGATTCATGTCATCATAAAGTTTGTTTGGCGTGTTATAATAAGCACAAAGAAGCAAATACAAAATTTTGTCCAGTGTGTAATATATTTTTATTGGCATATAGACTTGTTTAATAATAATTATATAAAACAATAATAATTAAATAAGTAAAATATAAAAAATAATAATATTGTACAACGACGTTTTTTTTTAACGGAAATTCTCAAAAATTTCAAAGAATATAAAACTATTTTACCCAAAAATCAATCACTCAGTATATCATAAATGATATATAAACTTTTCCGTAATTTGGACTTAGTGTTCCTAGAACACAAATCGAATAAGAAGTTTCGTGTAAAATATTTTCATCACTATAAATCGGAAATTGTGGTGTCTATTTTTTTTTTTTTGTTGACCCTGCTTTATAATTAAGAGTATTTGAAGATACAAGTATATCACACGAATTAAAACGAATACAAAAAAATATAATTTTATAAATTTCATATTATATATGCTAATATATTCATTAGGGTGAACTTTATTTATAAGACTAAAAAAGAAGTTAATATATTAAAAAGTTTAAATATAGGTAGAGATCATACGTGCAATATTTCAGGTAAATGGATTAAGTCAACCAGTGCAGCAAAAAGGTAGCAATTTCGACGTGAGGGAAGTTTTTTGATTTTTCTATGTATCTGAAAAACTAGAAGACGATACTTTTCTTAACCTATTCTTACGCCTATTTCAAATATGCAATTAAAATTTCGCATATAACAAATATTTTTGTTTGATTATTAGGTTACGTATGAATAATCAATAAATATAATTAATTAAAAAATTAATCAAATTTAATTAAAAAAATAACAAGTAGAATGTATCAATATAAATAATTATTTAAACACCAAAAGTTGCATAGAAATGCAAAGTAAGACTTCTATTTAATCGATTTATCACAATAAAACATTTTTAGTGAAATTTTGAGTTTTCTTCATAAATTTACTGTTAATTGTAATTAAATAATTTTCTGATCACATATCAATCTAAAAAAATGGTAGTACAGTATGGACGTGGCATAGTTGGGACAAGTATAGATGATATCTGACAGTGATTAACATCACTATCATAAGAAACGCTTCGATGCAAATCATCGATGTAGATTATTTCAAAAGCAACAATAACTCCTACTCCCTTAATTTTATCCCGATAAGTTATTTGATTTATAATTATTATATATGAATAAATAATAATTTTAGTAATTAAGTTTAGTATGAAATTGATATTTAATAATTTTATATTGTAATTTTTACGGAGATATTATAAAAAAATATAAAGTAGTTGTATATTTCTTTACTTTTAACGCGTATAAAAATTTATAGAGCTTGACGCAATACTTTTCAATAAAACATTTTTGTTACTTATAATAAAGTTATAATTTTTATACACTGAACTACAAGGAACTTTCATCAGAAATAAAAATGTACTTTTCTAAATCAACTTTTCTCAATGTTTTCAAATATGCAATTAAACTTTTTCTATCACTTCTAAGTTTTAATATTATTATTTATTATTAAAAAATAAGTATTTACAAATAAAAATACACAGCACAGTGGTGACGTCGCATAGTTGGATCAAGTATAATGATATCTGACAGTGATTAAAATCACTATAAAAAAAAAACTCTTCGATGCAAATCTTTAGATAGTGTTTAATTTTAAAAAATTGGTGGATTAATCCAAAAGCTACGTTGAAGTCATCGTCGTGCCGCCGCCTTCATGGGATCGTGCAGTACGTACTACTTTGTTTGCTCAACGCACCTCCGATTACGCAAAACAAGTGGACCGCAGTTGTTTATTTTTTTTTAATTGTGTATGAAATATTTGTTTGTGCAACTAATCTATCTATCTTTTATTAGGTTATTATAAAAGGCTTTAAACCCTTTCGGTGAAAAACAGTCTTACCCCTACATTATTGTGCTTGGTACATCCCAGATAGCAATTTTAAAAATAATATTATATCTTTGCGTCATTACCTTCACATCCCCTGTCAATAATTATCACATTATTTCTAATAAGAATATTATAATTAATAGATTTAAAAACAAACACAGATAAAAAAGATAAAGATAAAGATAAAAACAATTGTTTAAAATATATAACAACTTTTTTAATCAGATGTTTTTTTTGGAGAATATTAAAAGAATGAACCTGTAACTACTTTTCACTTAATAAATTTATTAATCTCTTAGAGAAATGCTAATAAGCCATACAATTTATTAAATTCAGCTAATGAAGTTTAGAAAAGTAAATAGTTACTGTAAAAACCAGCATTTTTTTTCATTTTTCGTAAATTAAAGTTATATATATATATATATATTTATAAATAAAAAAGCTATTACTCATTATAAAATGTTTGTAGTTCAACGTATCACAATTATTAAAAAAATAAAGATCATGTAAAATATTGACTAGATCAAAATTTATTATAATTGTCAAACTAACGGCGGACCCACCTTGAATACACACAATGTACATTATATACTGGTTAGTTAGTCGTACCCTTGTTCTAAAGGATATTGCATGGACAAACAGAAGTAAACGTTGCATAGATATATATTTTTTTCTAGGGTTAGGCATACTAATTCAGAATACCTTTATAAGTCTATATGTACTGAATAGCTATACCCGAGGTATATCATTATTTAAATTTAATTTATTTTAAGTTAAGAATATTGTATTGGCAAACATCGTAAATAAAAAGTCATAAAAAGCGCACCCTAAATTATTTTTAATTATTTATAAATAAGCAAGAACAAAACAAACTACATTCATTTTTTTCCTACAACTGTAATTGTTGAAACTAAAACAAATTATTACACATTCTATACTGATGTCAATGAACATAGTCGCAGTCTGTGACCGACTATGAGGTACTTGTATCGTAGCTAGATTTTATTTTGGTTACTTATGCTCAAAACTGGTAATTATTAAAAATTCAAATGAAATTTATATTATATATTATATTTATATTTATAATATGAAATTATGTAATTTAACGCATGAATTGTATCAAACTTTTAGTTAGATGTTAAGGTTTTCAAATATTGTACTCATATATTTTGTTTTCAAATATTTCTATGACTAATCATCGTTTACTTCCAAAAAATCGTAACTGTAAAAAAATTTTAATATTAGAACGTAAAGATGGAAATAATTTTAGAATCTTTGCCTACAATGGGTTTCCGTTACTATCAAGTGTGACTTTTATTTTATATGTGCTGTTGCCTTCATTATCTTGATTATGATAATTAGTACTTTGATTTCTAATTTCATTATCTGGACTGTAATTTATAAATTCATTGGGGACAACATCTAGAATGAAAATAAAAATGCATACTGTCATAAAACTGTTTTTGTTAATTAGTAGAAATTTCATTTTTGTTAAATTAATTTAATAAATATTTTTTAATCATCTTAAATAGACATATATGTTCGGTATGCTTTATGTGGGCTCGGTAGAAACCTCCAAGCGAATGTAGCATACATTAAGATCCCAACTAAATACTTACACAATACAAAATTCGCTGACCAATTCTATCATTCGCGGTCAAGTGGTAAAACGGCCCTTTTCATGACCAAGTTTGACGTTGGTGTCAATTAATATTTAAGGCTTAACGCCAGAAAAAGAGATATTGATGTCTGAGATGTGCAGGAAAGTGGTATGTGATGTTTTATGCGTTCAAAAAACGCACAGATCTAATCAAGAAAACAGACCTAACGTAAAAGGGTTGAGACTAGTAGTTGAAAGACCACATCCAAAATACAAGAGCGAAATATTCGTACACCCAAGTATAAATGTGATATCAACAGGAATTATCAATAATCAACACGTAGAAATATTAACAGTCGATATCGAAAAGTTTTCAATAACATCTATATATAAACCTCCCAATATAAATTTCTTATTTACTGAACCTTATGATTACACAGCAAAGGAAATAAAATTTTTATTCGGTGATTTTAATAGCCACAGCACTAGCTGGGTATACACAGATAACAACGAGGATGGAAATGCGATTGAAGAATGGTCTGAACGAAATGATTTGTCTTTAATACACGACTCAAAACTTCCGGCGTTCTTTAACAGCGGACGTTGGCAAAGAGGATATATAATCCAGACAACATATTCGTAAGTGAAAAAATAGAAGCCCAGTGTCATAAGTATGTGCTGTCGTCTATACTGAGATCTCAACACAGGCTTATCATGTGTCATACCTACGCTGAGGTTAGAACTAGAACCGTTATTTTTCAGAGAATGTTCAATTTTAAAAGGGCTAGATGAAATGAGTTTTTCAAGATGTTAGATATCGAAGTGAAATGTATACAACCAATTTCTACCAATTATGAAAAATTCCTTAAACTGTTCAAAAAATAGCAAGGAAGACAATTCCTAAGGAATGTAGGCAAAACTACATTCCAGAATTAAGGCAAGATTTAATAGAAGATCTAAAGAAATATGAAAAACAATATGAGACAGACCCATTTGCAGAAACAACGATATAATTAGGAGAAAACCTCGATAAACAGATAGCAGATGAGAGATGAAAGGACTGGGTAGAAACAATAGAAGTACTACATATGGTATAAAATATAAGAAAAGCCGGGAAGCTATTAAAACACTTGAATAATGAGAAGACGCAAACGAAAGAACACCTTAATATTATTCAGAGTTAAATTGCACATAATCTCATAGTAAACGGCAAAACAAGAAAAAAGAACAGTGATACTAAAATTAATAGAATAAAGGAAGGAGAAGTGGAACATTTTAAAAGCTCAGTTATAGTGGACTGTTAAGCTGTAAGAATAGATTGAATACGGGTAGAAGAAATTAAGAAATTTTGGACAATAACTAAACTTTAGACTCTGGAAATGTTGAATGATTGCATAGATACTGAATGAGTTCCAGTTATATGGCTTAAAGCAAAGGTAGTTGCATTGCTCAAACCAGGAAAAGCCAGTAATGATGCAAATGATTTCCGACCAGTGTCATTGTTGTGCCATATGTATAAATTATTCGAAAGAATAATTTTAAATAGAGTTGCACTAGCGATAGATGGAAATCTAATTAAGAAACAGGCGGTTTTCCAACCAGGAAGAAGCTGCATGGGCCAAGTATAAAATCTGGTAAACCATATCGAAAATGGTTATGAGGGAAAGCTAATCACTGGCGTTGCATACATAAACCATAGTGTTGCATATTACACCGTCAATCACCGACTACTCAGAAAAAAGGTCTATGAACTTATGAAAGACTATAAATTTACAAAAATAATTGGAGCACTACTAAAAGACCGTATGTTCTATGTTACACTACAGGGGGAAAAAACAAAACAACGGCCTACTTCAAAGAAGCGTTCTGGCGCCGTTACTTTTTAATATTTATACAAATGATCAGCTGAGGAGTCTCACAACAAGACATTTTCTGTATGCTGACGATCTTTCAATAGCCGCACAATGAGCTAATTTCGAAGAAATAGAGGAAATAATCAAGGAATCATTAGTGACATTAGATAAATACTATGAACGAAATTATTTAAGACCAAACCCCCACAAAACACAAGTGTGCACTTATCATCTCAGAAATCGTTAGGCAAAGAGGAAACTGAACATTGAATGGCAAGGAGTTAAAATAGAATATGTGGACAACCCTAAATACTTAGAAGTTAAATTAGACCGTGTTCTAACATATAAAGTACATTGCGAAGATACGGTAAAAAAGTTACAACAAAAATAATATACCTCGAAAATTGTGACAAAAAGGGGATGCTTGTTTAAAGGTACTTCGAAATGCCAGTCTAGCGCTTTGTTATTCAGCCGGAGAGTATACCAGTTCAGTATGGCGTCTTTCAGCACACGCCAAGAAAGTATACGTAGCCTTAAATAACACAAATATAATAATTACTGGATGTCTGAAAGCGACACCTGTAGGAAAAACACAGATTTCAAGTGGGATTGCTCCCCCAGATATCAGAAGAGAAGTAGCAGCGATGGTGGAAAGGAAGAAACAGATAAATGACTACAGACACTCCATGTTTGGTGAAGTTCAAATTAATAGCTGGCTAAAATCTAGAAAGCCGTTTATCAAAACTAGTGAACCCATTATCAAAATAGTAACAAGATTAAAAAATTGGCATGAACGAGTCACCGATAACGATAAAATTACAATTTCAAGACATCTGGCAGAAAATCTTCCCCCAGGATACAAATTACCTTGGCGCACATGGAAGACCATTAACAGAATACGATCGGAAGTAGGAAGAACTAAAGAAAATATGTGCGAATGGGGCCTAACTATAGATGCGGACTGTGAGTGCGGGAACACGCAAACAACAAAACATCTATTGGAATGTCCAATACTACCAGCAAGACGAGAGATCGAGGATTTTATAGAACAATAATTAATGGACAATGCAATTAAAATTGTTGATTACTGGGAAAAGACGGGAATTGAAAATTCTAACACTGACCGACACGAAAAGAAGAAGAGTATAATTTATTAAGCATAACCATTTCAGTCACGCAATAATTTTTTAAAATTATGGTGGGTTTATATACAACAACACAATTTACAACCGCAAAAAAATATTAAAAAAGGCAATTTCAATATAATACCACTATGCTTCGAAGGGATATTACCCGTTGGAAAAAATTATAAGTCATGATTACCAAAAAATAACCAATACAACGATAGTTATAAAGCAGTATCAAAAGGCAATGCGATATTCGAGATAACAAAAAAAAAAAAATTGGGATCTATCAACTACATAAAGTCAAAAGGCTAATTATTATGATTAGTGTGTAGAGTAGAAAAAACTTATTGGTAATTTTTTACACATAATCAATAATTTTACAATTCATTAAATCAATCGAAATGCATGTTATGTCTTATGATAATAATTAATAAAATATATCAATTTAAACGTAATAAATCACTGTGACTATCCAACACCCCAAATATGTTTAGTCGTTAGGACATTTATAGACTTTTATAGATATTTATTTAGATATAGACATTTATTTAACAAAATCTAATATTTTATTTATTTTTGAATTACTACATTATTATTTATCATAAAGCACATCTATGAATACTTTTATGTTGCACACCCCTCTCACCAATATATAAATATTATATCAATTTGAAAAATAATATTATATAATTGGTAATTGACTAGACAAAATTTTATTTAATACATTCTCCTATTTAATAGTAAAAAATAAAAATAGGTTTCGATTTAAATTTTGAAAGTTACCCTTAAAATCTACTGTGTTGAAATTATTTTTTTTATAATAAACTCAATTTTAAAAAATCATGTCCGAATATTTACATACATTTACTACAATTTTTCAACGCTTACAATGTATGGGAAATTTTCGATAAATAGTGATAAAATTGTTTAAATTGTGTATAGATTTTCGATACTTCCTATCAAAATTACACTACTTGAACGTAAAAGTAACGTGTATATATTGAAAGTATCATACTGATTTATGGGAATGTTCTAATAATTTTTCACAGTGTGTTATTTCCTATGGTACATAAAAATAAATACAATTTTAATCTATATATTTTTATGAAAAAATCATTACTTAACGAAAGAATTACGAGTAGTACTCTTAATAAATCATATGTTCTTTATTATATATTTTTTATAAATTGTTAACATACTTTGTCTGGACGACGAAGCTTCGGTTTCTTGTGGGACTTTACCTAGGTTTACACATGCAATTATTTATACATTTATTATACGTTTTAAAATTAATTTTAGCATTTTTTATTTATTTATTGAAAAAAAATTTATATACATATATTTATAATCTATACTATATGTCATTATAGCTTGATACAATGCTGAGAAAGTATTGGTTTTTTCGTGATTTTATTTATTTTTATGTATGTCAATGAAAATCCACAGATCTCACTAGACAGATTATTTTTGTTTATTTATCAAAGGAACCCGATTTTAATATTTGATAAATTTTAACTTATACTAATTTATAACTTTTGAAGTGTACTGTAATATTAAAATAAATAGTCATTTCTCATTGTGTGATATTTCCTATGATTCATAAAAATAAATACAATATTAATCTGTATATTATTCTGTAAAATTCATTATTTAACGACAAAATTGCGTGTAGTATTTTTAATAAATCACAATTTTTTTAATATATATTTTTCATAAAATGCTAACATACTTTGACTGAATGACGAAGCTTCAATCTCTTGTGGGACTAAGACTGGGATTACACATACAATTATTTATACATTTATTATACGTTTTAAAATTAATTTTGGATAATATTTTTATATATTGAATATATATATATATATATATTGACAATCTAGACTAAATGTAATTTTAGTTTTGATATAAAAACTAAGAAAATATTGGTTTTATCATGTATTTTTTTATTTTTATGTGTGTCAATGAAAATCCTAAGCTCTCACTGGACCAATAATTATGGTTTATGCATCAAAGGAACCCGATTTTAATATTTTTGAAGCAAAACACATCAAAAATTCAAAAAAATGTTCTCAAATTTTAGATAGTTTAAAGAATATTCCAAAATTACATTACCGTAAAAAATTAGGGCAACGTAAAATAAAATTATAACAATTTTTCTGCATTTTAATAATACTATTACTTTTATTTAAAACACTGATCCTAATGAAATATTAACAGATAATACAAGAGACAATAAATACTATTTTGGTATGTTTTTTATGTAAATTCAATGAACTTATTTACAGGAAGGATTTGATAAAGATATTCCATGGATGCTATCACATTTTATTCAACTCAAATTTATCAAATGTTCTGGAACATTTGTAGTGTACTGTAATATTAAAATAAATAGTCATTTCTAATTATATGATATTTCCATGGTTCATAAAAATAAATAAATTTTATATGAAAAAATCAATATTTAACGAAATAATTTCAAGTTGTATTCTTAATAAATCACTTGTTTTTTATTATATAATTTTCATAAAGAGGTAACCTAGTTTGACTGGACGACAAAGCCTCTGTTTCTGATAAGACATTATCTAGGTTTACACATTAATATTAATTAATTTATTATACGTTTTAAAATCAATTTTAGCTATTTTTTTTATTTAATAAAAATACATGTATGTTAACTCAAAAATTTAAAACTTTAATTGTTGATATCTAATTAACTAATAAAGTTACATTAAAATTTCAAATGCCATTTAGTATTAAATTAAAAACTCAAATATGTTTGGATGAACTTAAAAAGTATCGTTAATATTTCGAGAACAATGTATAATATAACTAAAGATAACTTAAAAAATCAAAACATTTAAATAATATAATTCTGCAAGTAATTGAGTTGGTATTTATAAAAAAATCACTCTGTATATTGAAAGTATCATACAGATTTATGGAAATGTACTAATAATTTTTCACAGTGTGATATTTCCTATGATTCATAAAAATAAATACAATTTGACACGGTACCGTGTTTCCCTCAGTCGCACATCACGTTATCAACCTATATAAAAGTGTATCGGGATCTGAATCATAAGTATACGGTGGCCTAGTGGTAAGCTTTGACTATACGACGCCTTAGGTCGCGGGTTCTAATCCCGTACCGTGCCTCCTTTTATCACATGATTTCCGGTACACTCTCTATAACCGGCCGTCAATCCCCGGCGGCCGTGTTAAATTTTAATCTGTATATTTTTATGAAAAAATTATTATTTAACGAAAGAATTGCGAGTACTATTCTTAATAAATCATATGTTGGTAATAATATATTTTTCATAAAGTGGTAACTTACTTTGTTTGGATAACGAAGCTTCAATCTCTTGTGGGATATTACCTAGGTTTACACATACAATTATTTATACATTTATTATACGTTTTAAAATTAATTTTAGCTATTATTTTTATTTATTGAAAATATAACACGCTCAATAACTTCCAGAATAAATATAATTAAAAAATTTTTTTTCGGTTTTATTTAATTACAAATTATTCTTGAATTATTAACTATGTAGTACTTTTTAAGTATATCCCTTATGCCTTGTAAGGGAGTCAAATATGTTTTTTAATTGGAATCGCATATTTTGATTATAATAAAATATTTGAGTATTAAATTTAATTGTAAAAGACATTTGAATTTTTAATTTAACTTTATTCGTTTATCAGATACAAATATTTAAAGTTTAAAATTTTTGAATTAATATACAGAGTGTTCAGTAAGTCAGGAAACGGGCTTCTATTGTTCTCATTGTTTGTAACAATGAGAACAATAGAAGCCCGTTTCCTGACTTACTGAACACCCTGTATTTGTATAATATACAAGAAATTAGATATACAGGTAGCTAATTGGTTTTTTTTTATGTCGCTGTCACAGCTACGGTGTGTTTATTGTCAATTATGACTATCAATAGATATATTTTCTGTATTGTCATTTTTTGTCATAATTTCTGTATTTATAAACTCACAACAATGAGCCTTATAAACCATTGATAATAAATGCTGTGTACCTGCGAATATCGATGTCATAGAAAACCTATTAGTTACGTGTATTTATAATTCAAGCATTTTATTAAATTCAAAGTATTTGTTCCCATTTAAAAAAAACAAAGTATCCCACCTTTACAATGCATAAGGGGCGAACTTAAAAAGTATTGCATAGTTAATAATTTAAGAATAATGTGTAACTAAAGATACCTCAAAAAAAATAAGTTGTCAGAGAGTAGTGGGCCACCTGTATATATAGAAACTACATACATGTATACTATAAGTAATTTTATCTTGGTACAAAGCTGAGAAATATTGGTTTTATCATGATGTGTTTTTACTTTTATGTCTGTCCATGAAAATCCACTGGACCGATTATTTTGGTTTATTCATCAAAAGAATCAGATTTTAATCTATTTGAAGTTTTAAGCGCCAAAAATTAAAATAAGCTCTCTCAATTTAAGATATTTAAAAGTTTATCTCAAAATTACATTACCGTAAAAAATTAGGTTGACATAAGATAAATTAAAATAAAAAAAAAATGTTCTGCGAAAATGCCATTACTTTTATATAAAAACACTGATCCTAATGAAATGTTAACAGATTTTACTAGAGACAATAAACATTCTTTTGGTATGCTTTTTATGTAAATTCAATGAACAACTTATTTACCGGAAGGGTTTGATAAATATATTCCAAGGATGCTATCACATTTTGATGCTATCAAAATATTCCAGAACATTTTATAAATTTTAACTTATATTAAATTATTGCTTTTGAAGTGTACTGTATATTATAATGAAAAAATTATACCGACGATTGTTCTATTATGAAAAATCGGCTTTCAAAGTAAAATAATTTATAATTATTACACAAAAATTGTTTTAATTTCAATTTTTTAAATTATTTTGGGATCTGAATAATTTTTATTGAAAGATATAAATTTTATTGATATACCATTGAAATATTATTATTTATAGGTTTTTTTTTTAATCATTTCATATACAGAGTAATTTATTAAGAGTACTTCCACCCATTATTTCATTAAATAATATCTTTTAAAATTGTACAGATGGAAATTTGATTTATATTATTGAAGCATAGTACATATAAATTTTATTGTATACTTTATTCCAATGGTAGATATGGTTTAATGGTTAAGTAGGAACCTTTAATTTTTTTTTTACTTATTTTTATCAGTGACTTATGGTAAAAATAGGGTGCTTCTAAATACTAAATAAAAAATTTATGGTATTATTCTTCATAAATCATACTGCATTATTTATATATATATGATGTAATATTTTTACTAAATATGTTTTAATAAATAATTTAACATTTTTTTGATCAATGTATTATTAAAAAGATTCGGGATTTAAGATATTTTAAAATTTTTTTAAAGTCTCTCACAAGACATTTAACTTAATGCAAATTTACTACAGGTTATACTGTACCACAGAAATATTTTTTGTTAGTTGAATGATCCTGCACAGCTAAATTCCTTGTTAATAATCATTATTTAAATAAGCACGAATATCTATTTATCGATAATTTAACCTTAATGACTAAAAAAACTTAATAAATACTTTTGTTTGAACCCTGATTATCAATTTTATGTCGTATTATACAAATCATTAAAAATTATTCATTATTGAATAAATATGTTTTCATATTATTATAACTAATACAGTTGGGATTGACTATAGAATATTGATATAATTCCGCTTTTTTTTTTTTTGGTAAACTTTTATATCAATATTGTTTTAAAATATCGTGATATTTACGATATTAATTTAAATGGGTTCATAAAAAATAAAATTTAATGTTTAATTTAAATTTTATATGGACATTTTCCAACATGATGGTTTATTCCAAATTTTAAACATTCCTATAATGCAGTACTAACATGATTATTAACTAATTAACGAAAATATTCAAAAATTTGAAACGATATCGATGAATACCCTTATAATATAAGTATATACATAAATTTATTATATACCTACAATGTCAATACGAATGCATGTTTATTAATATTATGTTTTATTTTAACTAATTTAATTTTAATATATATAGGCTGTTCATTAAAGAAACCGGATAATTGTTAAGAACAATGAGAAAAATAAAAACCCACTTCCTTACTTACTAAATACCATATATAATGTGTTTTACCTAAATCATTACACCTCGAACAGTATACTTTATCGGACTTCTTGAATATGTCGTACTTATTATTACATATTGAACAGCCTTTAAATAGTAAATTTATTATTATTTATGGTATAATAACAATGTTTTGATAGTTAAAAAGTTTATTAAATTATAACTTTTTTAATTTTTGAAAAATAATTTTTAACCTAGTGTTTTATTTACTTAAATAAATTAATACCGATTAATTTTATATATTTTTATAAGAGATAATTATTTAATTTATACTTACGTAAATTTTTTACTATGTCTAAATAAAATATAAAATTGAATTAAAAATTATGTACGTCATAGAATCTATAAGTTAGATGTGTAGCTTGTGATTTTAAAGTGTAGATTATTTAATTTTATTATTAATAAATCAAATATAATTAATATTGCCACTGCGAATAGGATGTGAAAATAGAGCTCACTCTACATACAGACACACAGAGTGATTGAGAATATTATTCTATTTAAATTTACAGAATACATTATAAATATTATTGGTAAATTTAGATCTCATATTTAATATTATCAATAATATTACCCATTGTTATATTTTTTTTACACAACAAACAATCCAAAAGTTTACTTTTACAGGGGCCACAATATACGTGAGAACACGGAGAAACTTGCTTTAAATTTGAATGAGAATTACAAAAACCACAACCTATAAAATATTAACTGAAATAAGAAAATACTTACGAGTTTTATATATTTTTATAAGTAATAATTATTTAAATTATACTTACTTAATAAATTTTCTTCTATAATCAAAATAAAATGTATAACTGAATTAAAATTGCATTTAACAAATGAAACTTAATTTAAAAATTTTTCTTTTAAACAAATATCAAAAGTTATTAAATATTAAATTTTATAATTAAGTAATTGTATAATCATTTTTAATTAGAATCAATTAACTAAAACAGTTAATTAAAATTATAAGAATATTGTACCTATTGTATCGTCGTTATTATTTGAAAACAATTAAAATTAATCAGTTTTAGCAAAGTTTTAAATTTTTAATAAGTTGTCAATAGACATAAAATGGTTTTTTTTCTAAACAAGTTTTTTTTCTAAAACTCATTTATGCATAAAAATATAGTAGGATAAAAATTGCTTGGAATTAGAAGATTTATTAAAATTAAATCATTCTTAATTTGCTAGTGATCCGTCTATTGCTTACGAATTTACTTAAAATGTTTGTTCATATTTCAAATATATGTTTTATACTCTTGTATTGTGAAAATAACTAATCCAATATTAACTCTGAACTAGTGTTTCAGAAATTATTAATAATTTAAAATAATGACCAAAAAGAAAAGTGTAAGTATAATTTATTAGCTTCGATGCGTAGCCAAAAAGCAATGATTTTTTACTGCTGTAATTTTTATTTTTTGTGCATATATATATACTATTACTCTCGCTTAAAATAGTGATCTGTACTATAGATTTAATTTATTTTATCAGTTCTTATAAATGTATGGATATACTCCCAAATTCTATGACTATAAAAAAATAACATATATTTTTATTACTAGACGTTGCTAAGGAGAAATCAACAGCTAACACTAATATAGCCATAAATATAGTAGGTGAATTCTAAAAAAAAAATAAAATAATTTAATTTTTACATACAATTTATATCATGAAGTTATGCAATATTAGTACATACCATGTTATGAATTTTTTGGTCTTGGATTTCAATAGTCTATGTACAATTTTAGTTTTTAAACTGTAGAATATAACATAATTGAATAAAATAAAAAATAGCTGGTTGTTTTTAAATAAGTGAATCCATTTTTATTCCGGGAAAAATATGTCATCTAATTGCTTTGACTCATAGCTTCTATTTAATTATAATTATTATATGTACTTCAAAAACATATTTTAATGGCATTCAACCGACATTAAATCTTGTTAAATTTATTTATAAAGTGATTTTAAGAATTTTATAGTAAAATTTTATTTTAATTGACACGGCATCGCTCTACGCTCCCCCATGACCTCTCGATGTCAGCCGTCCAGCTATTATGATGACAATCGGTTGTCATAAATCGGTTGATTTAACTATTGATATATAAATATTTATGTGACTAGCTGTAAGAAGTATATCTTGCGTAAATAAATATACTCAAATATATATATTAGGGTAGTTCTTAGTTATAGAAGAAAACATTTTTTTTAAGAAATTCAGAGTATTGGGCTCAAAATATTGTTAGGTTCACTGAAAAAATGAAACTGGTAAAATTTGAGTACAATAAGTCATCCCATTCACATGCCTCAAAGGAGTTGAAGTTCTTCAAAAATAGGATGGATTATCTTTTTTTGAATGTACTCTTTTTATTTTTGAAGTTTCGCCAAAAACACAAAGAACAATTTTTATAGAACTCAATGTGAACAAAAAATAAGGTAATATATATTATTTTTTTGTAAAATTAATATTTTTGCGTAAAAATAAGAAAAATCAGTTTCACTTAATTATTTTAAAAAATGACACAGTTTTCAATTATACTTTTCCAGTGTATTAAATTTTAATTGTACGCAAAAATTGTACAGAAGTAATATTAATTACCGTGATATCTTCTATAAATAAGGTTATTTGAGTTTTTTTCAAGTTATGAATCTAACATGACTTACGTCGCAAAAATGTGATCGACACTGGTTTTGAGGATAGAGACCCGTGGGCCGTTTATTAAATGATCGACAACAGGTTATTTAAACAAAAAATAAAACAAACCGAAAAGATAAACACAGTAATAATAATCTTCGCATAATATCGCGGCACTTTCGCTGGCGTCGACGACGCGATGTCCGGCGTGGTCATTGGGCGACAAAAGGTTAGCAGCGTTGATGGCGACGGTATGCGGGTGCTAATCGGTTGGTCGACGTGGTCGCTTTCACAACGGGAAGAAGACTCTCGCACCATTTGCGGCGGGTCGTCGTCGGCAGTGCGGCATTTGCTGGACTTTGCACCGTGGCGTATGGCACGCGGTGTTGGTCAGTCAAATACTCATAGTAGGGCGACGGCTGATAAAGGTGCCACGAGTCGCGGGGCATCGCGTATGACGAAGCGATGCCTGCCGTGTCAAATCCTTTCCACATAAAATAAAGTCCGAAATTTTTTTTTTTCGCAATAAAGTATATTTCATTAGCTTTAATTTAAGATATATATAAAAGTGTCAGACTTTCCAGAACATTTTCAAAGTTTAAGTTGAAAAAGTAAATTTTTTGTGAAAAAGTTGTCATTTTGAATCCCCTCCTGTAGGCAGGTAAAAAGTCAGATTTATAAAAAATCGTATTTTTTTTTATTAACTTTGATGTATGTTTTCACCATGAAGATAAAATAAAGTCCGAAATTTTATTTCAACCATAATAAAGTATATTACATTAGCTATAATTTAAGGTATATATAAAAGTATCATACTTTCCGGAACATTTTCAAAATTTAAGTTGAAAAAGTTAATTTTCTGTGAAAAAGTTGTCATTTTGAATTCCCATCTGTGAATACGTAAAAGTCAAATTCATAAAAATAATATATCAAATGGTAGGTAGAATTTTTGCATCTAAAAATGTAAACATTATATTGATTTGTTCATTTTCGATTAAGTAATAGCAGCTTTAAGTAAAAAAATATGAAAAAAATTAGCGATTTTTAAATTTGTATTTTTTTTGGAGAATTCCCCCATTTACTGAGATAGAGGGAAATTTTTTCAATTTTTGAGGAAAATATCTTCGACTAGATACGATTTGTGATCTTTTGACGTATAATTAAAAGAAATCGGTTCGGTGAGAGCTGAGAAAAAAAGCTGACACAAAAAAAAAACACATCATTCTCAGCTTTGCATCGAAGCTAAAATTGTAGGAGAAATGGAAAAGGTTGGACAAAAATAAATCTAGAAAAACAAAAACACAAGAACAACATAATAATATTTTTTCTGAAGAATTAAACAATCTCTTTGACATTTCTCATATCGAAGCTCTAAAGATGATGAGTATTGAAGAAGGCAAACAGTTTTTATTGTCACAACTTAAAAAAGGCCGCCCAGGGTGCATGCTAGGTATTGATATGAAGTTAACAGGTATTGAAAAACGAAAAATTACTCGACAAGAAGAAGAAGAAGATGATCGAAAGAAAAAAGAGAAGTTAGAAATCGCAAATTTTACAGGTAATTATTAAATATTACACAATAATTTCAGTACATTATAAGTTAGCAGTTTTTATATACCGAAGTGTTTTATTATTTAGCCGAAGCTCAATATTATAGCAGCTCTAGCTCGGAGGACGAAGAAATTGATATGGAAGAAAACGTTGAAAAAATCAGTCAATTACCTGGGCCTTTAATAGAAGTAAATGCACTAGAAGATATATGTTGTTTTGTAGTTGAATGTTATATTAAAATGTGATTTTCAGCTGCGAATATTATAACAGCTCCTATAAATGATTTAATATTATTAAAAAAGTTATTAAATTACAGTAATAATAAACTAGGAGATAGCTATAAAAAAATTTATAAACCATTTATGATATTTAAATGATGAATGTGCTGTGTTTTCTTTATTTGACGATCGACTTGACATTAATACTAAACAGCGAATGGCAAAAAAAATATTAAAAGGTTATGAACAGAGCACAAATGATGAGCCAGAAGAAAATGAAGATTCAAATAAAAAATTAATTTTTAAATATGAAAATTTTCTAGAAAAAGATCTTCCTTTTTCGTTGCTCAACAACAATTTATGGAAAGTATTCGAGCGATTTAAATTAAAATTCAAGTTTTTATATAAAGATCCTACCACATGGGAAATAAATAATGAATACAATAACGCCAAAGAAATATTATCCTCGTTAAAAATAGTAAACGACACGGCAGAACGTGTCGTAAAACTCATGGAAGAATTCAATGACAAATTTACAAGGGATGAAAATCAAAAGCAATTTATATTACAAAAATGAAATTATATAATAATACTGCAAAATTTTAAATTTTAAATTACTATATTTGTATTATAACCTTTACTTTTGACTATTTTAGGTGGTTCAACAATATCGTTCCCAGGTGTATCCCAGGTGTAGCCGAGAAATTTTGAATAAAATATATTCGAATTAGAAAAACTATTATTGTGATAAACAATTATAATTTTATTGTGTTTTTTTTTATTTAATATAACTAAGACAATTTTTTAATTTATGAACAAAAAAACATACATGCAAAAAAAAATTTAAAAAAAAATCACGTTTTCGTAGTTGTTTTAAATTTTTATTTGGAAAGGATTCATAATTCGAAAAAAACTCAAATAACCTTTTTTATAGATGATATCACGGTAATTAATATTACTTATGTACAATTTATGCGTACAATTAAAATTTAAGACACTGAAAAAGTATAACTGAAAACTACGTCATTTTTTTAAAAAATTAAGTGAAACTGAATTTTCTTATTTTTACGAAAAAATATTAATTTTACAAAAAAATAATATATTACCTTATTTTTTTTTCACATTCAAATAAAGATAATCTATCCTATTTTTGAAGAACTTCAACCCCTTAACGTGCCTCAAAGGGATTTTTCAGTGAACCTAACGAAATTTTGAGCCCATGACTCTGAATTTATGAAGTTGAAAAATAAGGATCACCCTAATATATATATAAATACATTCGGATTGTTATTATTACTTTCTTTGTTGTGTCGAACTATATATATATCGCTTGTGTGTTGTTACCGTATATTGAATACACGATATAATCTTATTATATTATAAAATATTGAAAAATTTGACAATGCTTGAAAATTGCTAAATAATTTCCAACTCTCAAATTGTGTTTTTAAATGATAGAGCTCGGTGACGATGATATAATTTTTCTTAGCATTCTGTGAACGTTTAAATATTTTGTTACACACGTTCATTGCTGGCAGCGTTTTTCGATTTAAAACTCTTAACCAGACTTGCACAGGGACATTGTATAAATAATACATATTGTAATCTAGGCTCCAGAGTGACCTTTCAATACTTTACATAAACGTTATCTTAATTAACTATACATAAATGACGGGTCGGGTGTTTTCTGCTACTCTTAATAGGCGAACAACGAGAAGACAATCTACTAAAGGTTGATTATAGACAAGATTTTTGTTATATATACATACAAAAACTAATAGATTCAATAAATTGATACATTATAACAATTTACAAATAAAGCAAAAATCATCTAAGGAATGTTTCCCTTTTAGGATAATCAAAATAACCATTTATTAACACATGTTTCAAACCAGTTCCCTTACAATTCATTAACTACGCCCACATCAGGGTTTCTATCACAATTAACCAATCACAAATAATTATCCAACATCTCAAGAATTTCAATAGAAATTGCTGGCTTACTTCTCCGGCATATAGACCGCCATTTTTTTTCTCGTAAAACCCCTCTCTCTCAACCCACTCTGGCGGCTCTGGCAGCTCTCTGGTAGCTCATGGTCAATATTCTCTTATATGGAATCTTCGTCAGTATAAGTAAATATTTTGTCCCTACGACTTAGATTTTTTTCATATCATCCTAAATGGTGAACATTGTTTTAGATGATTTATCAATATTTTACCCAGAAATAAGTATTATTTATTTTTACTATTGCCTAATATCCTTATAAGAAATAAATATAGTTTGTATTTTATATAAGTTTTAAATATTATTGTGCCCTTCATTTCTGGACAGCTTTAAATGTGCCGGAACGGATGAAGAAGCATAATTTTATTTATATAGGCATAATAGCCTTATACATTGTCGTAC